AATGTGTGTGTGTGTGTGTGTGTAATAATAATAATAATAAACGGTTTATTAATAGAGTTGCAGCCGGTGGCTGAAAATATACAGACTTACATTTGATTTAGACATAATGATATAATATGCATTGAATACATTTACAGGGCTGTACAGTACATAAATCAGGAGTTGTTTATTATTTTAACAATAGATGGGATGGTGCTGTTCTTATATCTATCGGTGCGGGCTCTTATGGGCTGAATTTTGTTGTAGTGGCGGACTGCGCGAGTTGGGTGGGGGGCTGCAGGTGGCAGGAGGTGGCGATGGCGAGGGTGGTGCAGTAGTCCCCTGCCAAACCTTTCCAGTGCTTGGTGGTGGAGGTCACTGAGGGATGGCATTTCCAGGGTGGAGAGAGCGTTGGTGTAGCCGGAGTATTCTGCACCAAGCATGATTCTGCAGGCCCTTTTCTGTACCTTCTCTAGCTGACGTTGGGTGGAGTTGAGAGAAGACGACCAGGCTGTGTGTGTGTGTGTGTGCTGATAACCACATGGAAAAAAAAACACGAGATTTCCAAGCGCTTTCGTGTAATTCTCATCTTCAGGGGTGAGTAAAGACTAAGGCGTAGTTACATACAAGACTAATATATACAGTAAAGGAGAGTGAGATCAAGTCCCTAGGCCTAGGGACAGCAGGTGTTCCTAATATTCAAGTCATTAATGGCTTAATGACTTGATGATTTGAATAGGGTTGATACCTGCTGTACCGGGTGTCTTGATATCTCTCCTTTACTGTATATATTAGTCTTGTATGTAACTTCTCCTTAGTCTGTACTCACCCCTGAAGATGTGAATTACACGAAAGCGCTTGGAAATCTAGTGGGTTTTTTTCCATGTGGTTATCAGCATATACAGTACATGATGACTAGCATTGATGTTGTCGTCATACGGCTCCATAATTTTCGACAGAAGGTTATTAGACACTTCATGCCGATGCTTCACTGTGTCTTTGTCAAGGATGAGATTGATTTTCTCCCCCAACTCGATGACTTCCTTCACATAATCATGGCTTGGTCCAGGTTCAAGGTTTTTCTGGGGTGGTGGGGGTCCAGCGGAAGCCATTGTGAGGGGAATAGAGCGGTACAAGAGAGAACTGTATTCACAGAGAACTGAGAACAATGAGAGTGGCCCGGCTAGGTCAGCGACTCCTTCCCTCTGGTGGCAGGGCACGTCATGTTACATTAAACCAATCACAGCTAGCGGCGGAGGGAGGTAAGGATGCATGACCCAATCACAGTCCGATACATCATATAACGTCAGCGATAACGTAAGAGCGACCTAATGCGCACCCCTCACCGCGCCGCTTCCTGGTATGGTCAAGAATGGACCGCGCGAGTAGAAAATGGCGTGGCGCATCTGGACGCGTCTGGACCTCTCCAGCCACTCACCGCGTAAATGATGAAATTTACCGCGTAATTAAAACATTTTAATCCACGTAAATTGAAACTATACAGTATATATATATATATATATATATATATATATATATATATATATATATATATATATATATATATATATATATATATATATATATATATATATATATATATATATATATATATATACGCGGTGCCTTGCCAAAGCTGAACTTTCACTTAACGTGGATTTTTCCACAGCAACGCGGTGAGTGTCCGGCTCGAGAGCTATTTTTAGATTCGCACCACCCCCCACCCGCCACCCTGCCTGACTGCCTGTTTTAGCTCATAAAATTCATACAAATTACCCAGCCAGAATATAGTTTACATTGCTGGAATTCTTATAATTTGGTGATCATTTTGAATATAAACAACATATTTTTTGCATTAAACATACAATTTTTAGATAAAATGTTTAATCTGAGTAAGTATGTTATCTTTTGTCCAAAATATATGACATTTATATTCAAAATATTCCTGGTCTTACAAGGAATCCAGCAATGTCAATTATATTATCCTAACTTTAGTTTGAGGTATTATTTATTAAAATTTAGTGGTTATCCCACACATCTCCTTGGGACGGTTG